GTGTATGTATGTATGCAAAGCGAACCTGAACCAAATGAAGCATAACAACATAAAAGTGATTGGGAGTGTGTTACTGGGCCATCTAGCAAACATAATACTAGTCATCACAATACTAATCATATTAACAATATTATCGAGTAACAACGATTTCAACAATAACCAAATCACTCTCCAAAAAGAGAGCATCCAACAAATGAATAAGCTCAACAATTTAAAAACAAGTGATCCAAGTAAAACAAACCATTCAGCAAATATACAGCACATACGTTATCAAAAGATTACAACTTCAAAAAGATTCATCAGAAAGTTTCAAGCTGCGAACAGACTGAACAAAATGAACAAATTAGACTATAAATGATAAATGGTTGAAAAACGAAAACATAAAATCCGAAAAAGTCCGAACTTAAAGAAAACAAATCCGCTGATTAGAAAATGTATGACTAAAGATATGTACTGTTTTAGGCAGGATTGTTCAATTCATGTTTCCGCACAACAGAGAACATTGAACGAAACACGCTATCAACTAATAATTCAACCATTCAAACAAAGAACGCTCAAATATCATTTGCAAAAGATTCGACTAATTCAATGAGATATCAAGTGATCAGAAGTCAAATTCTACGGATAATCGTGATCGTTAGTGCGTGGCTTTGACAGTTGAGAACGCAGCCATTCCGGGATTGGTAAATCATTTCGAATAAGGAGTTTATGAAGGGCGATGTTATCCTCGAGAAATAATTCGTTCAAACGCGTTCGTGTCCTCTCGTCGATTGGCTCATACTGACGACCTTTACTTGGGCCTAGACACCTGTTTGTACCTAAACCACCACTATCAATACCCATAACAACGAGCAACTCATATTCGCTATTGATTCTTTTCGTATTGAATGAATGAAATGAAGAAATTTACAGCAGTTAACGAAATACATCAAAATATTTCCATTCAAGCGTAATCACGGAACACCTTCAATGAAGCGTTCCAAAAGCCAACCTGCAGTTTCATTGTGAACGCAATAAAAATGTTTTTTTTGGTCGAACTGCAACACACTGTCATACTTGAACGCTGGTAAACGTAGTGAATTGACCAAAGAATTAAGCACATCCACTGGGCTATACCGTAGCATTTCACCGTCAATAATGTGAATTTGTGAGAGCGGATAGACATCTAACCATCGCTCGAGATGATGTGCATATCTTCAAAAGAGATTCATTCACTCATCATAATCTCTACCTCATGAAGTCGATAATATTCCCCACGAATTATACGACATCACATAAGACCATTAATCATAATTTCACAGTTTCAATTTA